TTATTCTCCGATACAACTCAAGAGAACTGCGTTTCCTCAGCCAATGACGACGAAGCAAGATGTAACGTACCTGTTAAGAATCGTGACGTACACAATTCAGCCAATAAGAATGAAGATGGACATACCACAGCCAGTGAGAAGGGAGATATCTGTCACACAGCCAATAAGGAAGGAGAAAGCTGTAATATCGATTGGACAGCTGAATTAACCGAAGACGATATGAGTTTGAAAAGTCAAATATCAAATTCTAGTGCGACAACTAGTTTGGAAGTGGAAATAAAATTGCAGAAACTGTCGAGCAGTGACATTCAGAACGTCTCTTATAAGATAAAGAGTTTGTCGTGGAACGAAGACGCAACGAGGCATGATGTGTGCAATAATGTTGACAATTGTTCACACGAAAATCTGTCTGAGAATCATAAAGTTGTTTCTCATGAGAGAGATGCTCATTCAGTCTCAAATCGGTTCACTTGTACCCAAATTATCTCTGAGGAAATGGAAAATGCTCCAATTGAATGTAAATGTAAAGATTTCGATGAATCGTCGCAACATGGGAAGACCCTTCCAACACAGAACAAACGCAAAGTTTGACAAAAGAGCAAAATATTTCCAACTCAGTTCAATATTTATCCACGAAGAAAGACCCTAATGGCTATATTTCAGAAATAAATCCTATTTCAAAGAAGGATCGTTCTTACAATAATCAACTAGATGATTGCAAACAGGAAGAAGCAAATCCTATAAATATTAATGAAGAACCTTATAAAGATAGCACAAAGCCCGTTCATCTTGCAAATATGAAAACATTGCCAAAGAAACTAGCAGGACTTTGCTTACTTGATGCAAAGGTGTATCTGAATAAGAAAGAAGGTCTTACATCATCCAGTTCAGGCGCAGTGAAAAATTCCAATATATCTGCTCCACAGAATTCTTTGGGCAGTGTGAATGTAAATGGTGATGCACACCCGGAAACTCACTCTGGGGATAACCTCCAACATTTACCCTCTAGCGGGATTCACCCACCGAAACACTCAGGAGATGGCCTCCCAACCCTCCCTCCCAGAGATTCCCATCCACTGACTAACTCACCGATTGAACTCCCAGCTTTATCCTCCAGTGAAGTCCACCAGTCGATACCCTCTAGTTGTGTACTTCCACAACACAGTTCAGGTATCTCAGGACAGGTTGGATTTGCTGAAGTAACTCCCAAGAATTTTGATATCCACACGCCTCTGAATGGTCAACATACTGGAAAGATTAAGAATCCAAATTATTCGTCATTCGCGGTAAGAGTATTCATTTCTCAAATCGTATTTATCTAGTAGTCACTACTGTAATCAGGGTTCATAGCGGTCTTTAAGGTCTTTGAAAAGTCTTTGAATTGTGTGAAAAAGCAACGAAAGTCTTAAAAATCTTTAAATTCTTTAGTGAGTATTTGATTATACGATTTCCTAGCTAATAAAATCGATTGATTGAAGCAAGATTTTCGCAAATATCGACGAAAAGGCACATTTTAGCATGTGATTTGACGGGACTAATTATTGGGTAAAAATGGTGCTTACACTCGCAATTTTTCGAAAGCTGATTTCTCTCAAAGGTCTTTGAAAAGTCTTTGAAAATAGGCAGAAAAAATCTTTGAAAGTCTTTGAATTTTTTTGGTGTTGGAGACTACGAACCCTGTGTAATTAACAGTGAAGAGATTTTCTGTGACCACTAGCCAAATGTTCTCATGAAATAATCAGAGAAATCTAGGAATATTGGCTAAACGTATGTGGCAATAACTTTTAAGCGCTAACAAGCTTTTACAATAAGTGTATAAAACACATTTGGTGGACATTTTGCTAAAGGCCATAGACCATTTACAGATTTTCTGGACTGTAGCATTTTACACGCATAGCCTCACCTTTATTTTTTGATTTCTTTTGAATTTTATTCAGTTTTTTCTGCAAATGGTCTATGGTACACGAGACAACTTTCTCTGAAACTTGACATATAATTTCGGACCCAAAGCATGCATTTATGTACTATAAATATGTAAACGTACTCACATACCGCAGACTCGCTGACACTTTACGAAATATTACCATCCTCTTAATGAGGTGCAATTCTCTTTAAAACGTTTCTCCCTCGTGATTCACAGGAATTTTTTTACAAAAACATTAATGTTTTGAAGATGGGAAATAATACTATTCTTGTAAACCATTTGTAAAACCCATCAATGGATAACGCGAATAATTACCATCAATGGTACCATTAATATGAAACAAAATTACGAGAAATGGGAAATCATTTTGAAAAGAATAAACCATTACTGGATTGTACTATAAAACATATTTTTTCGCATTTATTTAATGTTATTGAATTTGTTAATAAGAATTATACATATACCAGTATAAAAATTACTTTCTCCATTCACGGTTTTTTTCCCTGTGATAATAGGAAGCTCTTACTCCAGCAATAATACATAAATGTCGAAAGAAATCGTCGAGTTCAATGGACAACATTCTCGTGCAATGTGAACAACGAACAGTTTTGAAATTCACCGACGTTCTTTCACCAAGGTATGTTCACCTGTTCTAAAGTATGGCATGGAACTAAAAAAGACAAAGTATACATTCAGAGAAAAGGCTACATGGAGTGTGTGTGTGTGTGTGTTTGAGGGTAGGAAGAAATTTGCCCGAATAGACCTTTCCCCTGTCATAAGTTTCCCCATTCAGTTTGATCATCTGATTATCAATTTCCCGTTTGTAATGCAAAATGACTGAAAAACTGCAAACTTCGCAAGGCTATATTATCCGCATTTTACAACATTTCGCAGCGAAACTTCGGAATATTACTAATTTTGTGATGCTCTTTCAAGACTTGTTCAGACTTGTCTAGATCAAAATTTCACTCAAAAAGGGAAAGGTCTAATATATATATATATATATATATATATATATATATATATATATATATATATATATATATATATATATATATATAAGTATATATATATATATATATATATATATATATATATATATATATATATATATATATATATATATATATATATATATATATATATATATATATATATATATATATATTTCGCACGACCTTACGTATTTATTGTGCATTTAAATTTATTTGCCGCATCTTTTTTCCCAATTTACGTTAACAATTTACCCAACTTCAATTGGGGCTGAATAAATAAAAGATCGTTTATGGCCATATATTTGATTGATACAAAACGAGTCAAGTCCGAGCAAAAACCTGTTTATATGGTCGTTATTTCAAAGTAATCTTTTTTCTACCACAGTGTTCTGGCAAAATGTGTGAAAGTTGGCGAAGGAACTTTCGGTGAAGTTTATAAGACAAACGACGGTGTTCAAGATATTGCATTAAAGGTTTGTATAAATAGAGTCCAATATGTCAATTACAAAATGAATTGTTAATTCTGCTTATACTTGCTCGTGGCGCCAGGGAGTTTAACTGAAATGAACAACGTTGGATTGGATCAAATCAAATCAAATGGTCACACAATTTTCAGAAAACTAAAACTGATATGACGCAAGTTGAATGAGCGCTTTTCTTAACTCTCGCAACATTCCCGCGCGTGTTTGGATCAGGCCATCCAAACACGGAAACCACAAAGTAATTGTATAATTACACATGCAGAATGAAACAATACCACAATTTAGGAAATTCATTGCTGGTAAAACTCGCCGTTCATGTACCTTAATTCTGCTGGTCTTTCGCAGATCCAATCATCAATATGTCGCTGCGGCGTAGTATACTAGATTTAAGCTTAAATTAGATTTCGGACCATGTATATATTACATGGAATAACCAATCGTTGAATTGATATAGCACCAATAATACTCTGTGCAGAATGCTGTCAACAACAAAACGATAACTCTGCATGATGTTCATCGACAAAACGTAATGCCAGTTCTAAGTCGTGATTTTTGTCTTCGAGTATTTGAACGAGAAACGAGGTCGCACAATGACTCATCTACAAGATGTTAAAAAAACTTTAAAACTTTAAATATTAATTAGACGAAACCGAATTTAAGTTTTAATTAGAGCTGTCACATTACTACAATACGTTAGGCCACATAAAATAAATTCCTTGATTCTCATCACTAGACTTTGAAAATGTCGAAGAGCCGGGAGGTTTATATTTTATATTTATATAATTTATCATCAATAAATAAAAAACTGATAATTCCTAACATTTAATATTTCTGTGATTTCCAAAGTGAAGTGTTACAAACCAAAATGAACATATTTCTCCACGAACAATGACTGAACCCTTCAACTGAATGCGAAGTTCCGTTAAAATGCAATGAAATTTCTTTCAAGGTTCTATTTGTTTGAAATTGGCAGTTTAAAATGGCACTAAAAACCCAATTTTAAATATAAAAAACTTAACTGTCTTGAAATATTTTGTCGGGCGGTTCATTTATATTGTATAACAAAATATAAAAAAATTTCACGCGGCTCTTAAAATACAGTCGGGCGGTGATGAGAATCAAGGAATTTATTTTATGTGGCCTTATAGCTAATTTGAATTTGAAAGGGTTCAGTTGTTTTTTTATACACACTGTAGAACAATGGTGTAATCACCTGCAACTTAAGACCAAAACGCTGCGAAAACGATTAGTGCATGTGCAGTGACGTAGTCATACGCGGGGTGTGTAAAAAAACCGAGACCTTTAGAAATCAAGCTATTGTTGGAATTTGAATGCATAGCACTATCCTCAACCCACGGTTGCGTAAAATAGAGTAGAAACGAATTTTATGCATGACAAAGTTATTTAATTAAAGGCACAGTTCAGCCTTTTGAACGATGGTTTTTAAGGCGCATTTCAGCCCTTTTAATTGAAAAAACTAACTAGGAAAATCAATTAAAAGCATAATTCAAGATCACCAAACTTAATGTTTTTAACATTTTAAAACATTTTTATTGTTAAAAACATCGAGTTCACTGATTTTGAATTATGCTTAATTGATTTTCCTAGTTAGTTTTTTCAATTAAAAGAGCTGAAATGCGCCTTAAAAACCATCGTTCAAAAGGCTGAACTGTGCCTTTAATTGCTGTAAATTAATGGTTGGATAAGAACACTAGGTCTTGTACTCATGGGGCAAAACTCAAAGAAATTAGAAAATTTAAAAGAAATCCACTATTCCTTGTGTTCTTACCCAACCATTAATTCAAGGCAATTCGGGGCTGTTCATATGAGCCCTGCTCTGCCGGGCTGGTTTTCAAGTGCCGAGATCCCGCCTCACATATTGTTTGTATATTAATTTAGGATTGGGTTCATATGAGAAGCGGGCCAGCCCGGTTTGCCGGGATCTCGCTTGAGCGAGGCAAGATCCCGGCTTGCCGGGCTTATATGAATGCACAACCGGGCTAGCCCGGCGGGCTGGAAATTTGCGTGCTTTATTCCACTGATAAACAGTCCAAAATGTCCAAAACTATAGGAATTTATCGAAATTAAACCTCCTGAAGTTGTTGCCGTCGACAAAAATAAAATTTTGCCAAATAAACACGAATTTTATTTCCCCGCTAAAATATCGCGGGAAATCGTTACTATGAATAGATATGATTGCCGGGCTAGCCCGCCTCATGTGAAAGCAAAGCGGGCCAGCTCGGCAAAGCGGGCCAGCTCGGCAAAGCGGGCCAGCTCGGTTAACCGGGCTCATATGAACAGGCCCTTAGAGCTGTCAAATTACTACAATACGTTATAGCTAATTTGAATTTTATACACCCTGTATATTCCCTTGTCAAGGGAGAACAATACGAAAACGGATTATTATGGATGTAGCCTACGTTAATTGATGCTCACGCTGGTACCGCTGAACTGAATACTATCCGGATTATAGGCGCGTGTGAATCCGAGTTCGGGATCAAATTCAGACAAAATTTTACGAGTTTGTTTGTTTTTCTTTCGGATCAGATTTTTGTAGTAGTTCCTCATCAGATCGAATCGGATATATTTTTGCTACTGTTTGAGTACTGGTTATGTGTCAGTTTTGTTATTTAACGTCATTAACCTCGCGAAAACGCAATTGATCTGCCACTTTACTTCAACCACTGATCTATTTCTAGATCAGTGACTTCAACTTTGGTTTAATGCTTCACAATTATGGTTGAGATTTTAGAATTTTAAGAAAACACAAGATCTTCGTCAAGCGTTTCTTTGACCATGGATAGTATAAAGACAGAGGTATAAAGACTTAGGACAATCCATAGTCTTATTATCATCCATGCTTCGATCAAAAATGTTCATTTAAAAAATGTTAGTATGTTACCCAGTATCTGCATCCCACATATAGGATCAGATTGCGATTTTAGCATTCGAGAGCCTTCAGTAAATAATAAATTGAAACGTTGCGAAGGCTCTGGTTCAACGGGAGGATTCTTTGATTAAACCGCGCCAATCACAAAACAGAATTTGTGGTTTTAGTACAGAATCTGCATGTACTAAAACCACTAATTCTGTTTTGTGATTGGCGCGGTTTAATCAAAGAATCCTCCCGTTGAACCAGAGCCTTCGCAACGTTTCAATTTATTATTTACTGAAGGCTCTGGAATCCAGGGTAGCATCGGATCGGATGTGATAAAACATTTTTCGGCTTGATTGGGATCGGATTACATTTTTTAGCTTCGAAATCGATCGGATTCGGAACTTGGACAAAACTTTGGATTCAAAGTCAAAGAGCCGATTCGACGTACACCTCTAATTCGGATTTTTGGGGTTTTTTTCTTCAAATATACGGATTCATGAGGGGTTTAGACTACACAGCCTGACCGATTTAACTGTTAGATTTAAGAGCAATGAATTTAGAAGACACACGCAGGATTGGAGCAAATTAATTTGGATTCTTTACGGAAAGCGTTTACACGAGAATTTATTTCCGCATTTATACTCTATCTGTGATTATCTTGTATCAAATTCATGATTATTATAACGGCAAAATCAATCCGATATGATATATTCCCCGGGATTTGCAACGAATCCGAAAATGTTTGGTGTGTGTATCTGGAGATCTGAAAACTGTTTTCCAAATAGGTTTAAGATTTGATACAACTTTCCTGAAAGGTAGCTAGAAAGGTACCTGGAATACTTTCAAACCTGTGTTAAATACTAATATATACGAGAGTTTAAGAGTTTACCTGTGGCTTGCCGTCTTCTTTAATTGCAGTAAATTTGAAATAAAGTTATGTTGTTAGGTTATTCCTGTTGAAGGAAATTTCACTGTCAACAATGAACCACAAAAATCATTCGAAGAGATGACTCCAGAAATTGTCATATCAAAGTAGGTCTTATATATAATACATTTCGTTTGTGAAAATACCACGTGAATTTATTACTGCAAAGCATTCGATCTGTAAACCCGGATCTTCATCATGCAGTGCTAATAATATCATAAGTGCACATTATAATAACTGCATGCATATAATAAGTGCACTGATGTAGATCCGGGCTTAGCACTGATGAAGATCCGGGCTTACGGATCGAAAGCTTTGCAGTAATAAATTTACGTGGTGTTTCCACAAACAACAAGTAATATAAGTTTTATCGCCATGTAAACCTACAAAGAAAGTAGGTCTTATCCTACAATTTGTACTTTTATTGAGCCACTGTTCCAGCATCATTATTAAGTAATGAAAGTCTTCACTCTTTTTCCACAAACGATAGCAATGAGCTTTTATAAAATTTATCTTTGTTTCTTTTCAGTTCTAAAATTCCAAAAGAAGAAAATTTAGAAATAAAATAAGCTCGATAAACAGTAACCGAGAATTAATAACGCTATTTGCGTAACCAAATATAAGTATATAACCAGAGTGCTGCATGGTCACATTTACCAGACATATGGTAGGAAGTGAGACAAAATAAGAAGGCTGGATTTTGGTGGGAAAATATCAAGGGCTTGCGGCTTCCATGAAATGTTAGGGCTTAGAACTTACTAAAGTCAACTGCGTGACGTATGCACAGTGGTGTCAAGTAACGAAGTAAATGTACTTCGTTACTGTACTTGAGTACTATTTTTGAGAAGTGAGCATGTAGCAAAGTAAATTTTTTCTGGAGTACTTTTACTTGGAACGAAGTCGTTTTAAGAAGTAACGTTTTACTTCGTTATTTTCATTTTGTGACGAAGTATTTCGTTACTTTCTAACTTTTGTTTAATTTTACGTGATTTATTTCTGTTTTATTTTAAATTTGGGATAGGTAATAGGACCTCTATACATGCGTCTGGGATCTTTCGTTTGTGGCTTATTTATAAGCATTTATTTAATGGATTTTTCTTCAACGGGGTCTGCAGAGTAGACCATGCCGTGAAATTTCGTATATTAGGCGATGCACGCATATAATGCGTGTGCTGGTTTGTGCAGTCTTTTGTATGTCAATCCATTGGAGAAGTCCCCCCCCCCCTACACGCTACAGACAATAGTACTTTTACTTTTTACTTCAAGTATTTTTTTAAGGATACTTTGTACTTTTTACTTTATGTATCAGTGTATTCATGAATTAAGGTTGTACTTCCATCAACGGGTACTTAATTTAACACAGATGAATGGCTAGCAGTTTTGCTCCCATGAAATGTTACGGCTTATAGAACTTAATACTGTACCACACTAAAGTCAACAACGTGACGTATGCATGTACTGTACATCAATATCAGTGTATTCATGAATTAAGGTACAGATGAATGGCTGGCAGTTTTGCAGAAAACGTCTTAAAAAGTGTACGCCGTAAGAAACACATAAAAAATTTGTCAAACTTTCACTTTGATCTCTCATTTAATATTTTCCTAGAGGAGGTGCTTGATCTTTCAGGGGAGGTGCAAAACGATCTTGGGGTGGTGCGCACCTCCCCTCAAAATTCGGCCAATGCAAAATGACGAAGACATTTAACCAGGGATATTGGGCTAACCCAAATAGTGTTATTTCTGGGTTAACCAGAAAAGATTTAACTACTAGAGTGTTTTTAGTGCATACTAATCCACCACTATCCCCGACTAGGAAAATTAGTCGAAGATTTCATATTGTCACACTGTTTTGAAATTGATCGACGATTTTTTAATATTTTTCAGAGAGCTTAGTAAACTTGGTGAATGTGACGTAAGTTTGTGTGCTTCAGTCTTACATTTTCAATACAAAATCTAGTTATACTAATCTTGATTGGTAATTGTATGTTTCTGGCTGTTATACAGGACGTTCAGAATGCTGCTCATGTTTGCTCAAACTTTATAAAAGTAAAAAGGTAAAGATTAAATTGCCTGATTTATTAGTGACGTGTCATCGGCGTCTTGCTGTAAGCACTACATACAGGACAGTTCGCCTTGTAATTCATCTGTAAGTGTTACATACAGATGAATTACAAGGCGAACTGTCCTTTAGATTCCTTGTTCGAGTTTGGCAGACAAACTAATAGCCTTTCTCACGATGACGAATATCCGCCATTTTTGGGTGGCATCCAATTCTCGTTAACCAATGCAGACAACTCAAACAATGTGAAAAGCAATTTTTCAAAATAAACTAACCATTTACAAAGCAAACTTACCATAATTTGTCAAAAATATTATAAAAAGTCGCTGTTATGTGGACTTATCTCGCAGACCTCGGCTGAAATGCCACCCAAAAATGGCGGCGTGAGAAAGGCTATTGTAAAGAAAACCACTCATCTTCAGTATAATCAGTCCATTGGCATTGTATGAAATTAATACAGTTTAATGCCTAATGGTCGAGGTTGGGACAGTAGTTTGCGGTTGAGAAGAGTTCTAAGACCCAATTCAAAGTAGCAGTTGTTGCAGCTTGAAATGTAAGCGTTGCATACAAGACGTGACAATCTGACTTGCCGTTGTAAATAGAGCGTCTAAAGCTCCAGTATAGATCCTTAATTATTAATTTGTTTTCTACAATATTATAACAATAGCGTTGATGTTCGCGGGCATAAATATGTTTTTGGCGAGGGTTAAATGAGTTCTGGAGGGCCAAAAAATATTTATGCCCAAGAACATTAATGTATTGTACATTATTTAATTAACTGTATTGTACATTTAACTGCATGTATTGGACATTAACTGTAAAAGATAACAAAATAGACATAATAAGTTCCCCGTATGTTTGCATGGCGATAAAACATATAATAGTTTTGTTTGTGGAAACAGCACGTAAATTTATTACTATATTATTATTATTATAATATACATATTATTAGCACTGATGAAGATCCGGGCTTACGGATCGAAAGCTTTGCAGTAATAAATTTACGTGCTGTTTCCACAAACAAAACTATTATAAAATAGACATAAGTTCTACAATGCCCCCTTCACGCTATACCAATTATTCCGTTAACGTTGTCTTAACTATACAAACTCAGTTTATAAGCTCGGAAAAAAACGTAAAGTAAACGCAAAAGACAAAAAGAATAAGAAAAATAGTTCACACAATTTATAAAGTGATAGTTTTGGTATTAAAATAAAGCTAGTTTCGTTTGTTAAAGATAAACGAACTATGGATAAACTTCTAGGTACTTACTGGGCAGTTCTTTTGGGTATAATTTAGAGTGATGCTTGTTCAAGACAGTTATCCTGAAAAATTGTTGCAGGAGTGGGACAGATGGAGAACAAAACATAATTGTGAAAATGAACGTCCTGGTGGGTGTGCTAATGTACAAATAGTAAACTATAGAACTGCATTTGAATTTATATGTCGTACCTGCATGGTAGATGCTGAAAAATTCAAATCCCAGATCTATGTTGTCTACCCAAATGACAATTCGTATTAAGGAAGATAAAAGGCTACGAATCTGCCGACACTTTCTTCATCCTCTCCTTCGTCTTTTACCCAGCCCTAGACTGGTCCTCCATCCTTTTATATCCTTCATGATATTTTCAGTAAATTCCTTCAAATTAAATCGTATTTTACACAGTCCATCCATCTTTTCTTTGGTTCCGTTTTATCTCAAGCTGCATTTCTCCATCTTGCTCCTTCACCCCTAATTCTTATTAGAGAGTTTAAAAGCCTGTTTTCCAGCGCTTCCAGTGCTTTTATCGTGTTCTCCCAACATTCCCCTCATGAATTATAGAGAGAATAATACATGGGTGCGCGGAAATACCAGATTTATTTCGAGTGTTGAACATGATATCTCATGATATCTCTGAACATGTTTATTATATAAAGGACAGTCTTTGAAAAGCGATCATTTTTACAGAAAAGTGATAATTGAAAAGCGATAATTTTCACATGTGAGATTATCATGAATAATCTCACATGTGAGATTGAATAATCTCACATGTGAGATTATCACTTTTATCAGTGCTCGAAATCTCTTTCAAAAACTCATTAATAATTCATGAAGCAATTATCCAATCTTGAGTAAGAAATTAGTCGCGTGCATACATCTTTATACCAGCTAAAGAACACTTTAACAAAAGACCATTGTTATGCAAACTATATAAAGATTTTTATATAAAGATTTTTATATAAAGATTTTTATATAAAGATTTGACTTATTATGCAAACGTTTTTGAAGCCATTTAAAAAACTCGCAGGTCGTGTTTTATTAGGTCTAAAGCCACTCGCGCTGCGCGCTCGTGGCTTTAAACCTAATAAAACACTCCTGCTCGTTTTTTAAATAGTACATAAAGCACTATATTTTATATAATAAAACACCATAAAAGCATGCAACTCGTTTTCATTTTTCTAAATAATGCGTCTATACTTTCTAGATATGTTTGAATCTGATCAGTATTTCGTTGTATTCGAATTTCTCAATGGTGGTGAGGATATGGAACGTTTCCAATTTAATTCCATGGATCAAGCATTAAGTGTTTTACAACAAGTCGCTTTATCACTGTCCGTAGCCGAGGAATCACTCCTGTTTGAACATCGAGATCTACACTGGGGAAATGTTCTTATTAAGAAAACAAAATGCAAGGAAATTCACTATAAGTTATGCGGAGAAGATATATTTGTCAAAAGTGCGGGTGTTTTTGTCAGTATTATTGACTTCACACTATCTCGACTTACAAAAGGTACTCTCGGCTAGTATACTAATATAATTATGTAATAAAGTGCGACTAACAGTTATAATTCCGGTATATTTTAAGTAAGGAAAAGTGCACTATTATCTGTAATTTACGTACCCTATATTCAATTAAGTTTATGTATGTATGCGTCTTTAATGCAGAACTTTATGCCACCTTCTCCACTATCAAATTTGCCCAATATGACGTCATTAGATGAATTACAGATTCTTACTAAAAATATACAATACATTTCTTTTATAATGGGTCCAAATATTGCACATGCAAAAAATATTTGGGGTTAGTGCCACTTTAACTTAATATTGCGGTTATAACAATTTATAGCGGCAAGGCTGCAGTTTTATTGCAAGCAGTTTAGCTGCTATATATAGATTCTACCGTATAAGCAACTACCGTATTATTGTTCAATAATTCCTAACTTCATATTAAACACTCGCGATCGATGGACTAATATCTTGTTTGAACAGGTCCTTTTAGGTCTGGGGAAAATTTCCGAAAATTTTGATGTTTCCTCAAATATTTCCTTGTTTGCTCAGCCCTGAAAAACACTGTCGTGGAAAAATCTGAAAATATTTGTTCCCTCGATTGTGTTCCTCTTCCCCACCGCCGAAAATATTGTTTCAACATTAAAGTCTAGCGACTATTATCTTTATTACAGTTTATCTCATTAAATCGCAATGCGTGTTTTATCGTTGTCTGGTTTAAATAAGCATGTCTCTAATATTTCTAAACTCAAATTAACATTTGCTTCACAGATGGAACAACGGTGTATTGTGATCTTTCCAAGGATCCTAACATATTCAAAGGCAAGGGAGATTATCAGTTTCAGGTCTACAGGCTGATGCGGAAAGCTAACAGGTAAGTGGTATTGTCTTCTCCAATTGATGCTAGTATATATAGTTATCGTGTATGAATCCCACTTCTAATATACCTTTCGTTAACATAGGCAACTTTTACGTTTCCTCAACATCTGAAAACCTTTACGTTTCCTCAAATTTTACTTAGTTTCTAGTTTGGCAACAATGGGGGATGCAGTACTTTGACATAAATATTTGAATGGTAATCAATTTGAATTCGGGAAGTTTTGCTTCCCAGGAAAAATAGTCCAAGTGTATAGTTTCTGTGGTTTGTCAACTTTTCGGAAATATGGCTAGAGATGGGCGTCAGTCCTGGTCATGCGAAAGGGGGGTTCCTTTTTATCGATTTTTGGATTTGGGAAGGCATGCAATTACTAAATTACACTTATCACTAAACGTATAATAAAGGAAGAATGGCTAGATCCATCCATGCTAGGTAACAATGATTCTGCAACAATTAAAGGCCCGTTCCAACCTGACCAACATGTTGGTCAAATAACGTTGGTATGCACCATGTTGGGTAATGTTGCATGGAAGATGTTGGACCGGGTTTGACCAACATTGTACAATATCTGACGATCACGTGTGATTATTGCATGGCATTGGTGATTACGCGTGATCATTGAACACGTGCCCCACATGCAACATTAGCGAACTTAAGCAAGGCTTAATCTAGTACAGGGACATGCAAAGAAACAGCCTTAAATTTTACACTTCTATAATTATAAACTACTGTTTTTAAGAACTTCGATATGCAGGACGAAAGTGCAACGAAGACGGGTGATCATATTTAACAATTAAAATCCCATTTTAAATGTCGCCGTTGCTCTGTTTACCACGGCGAAATACAGATCTGTTTATCACATCTTACATAAAATGCTTTCGTTTCAAGCTGGGACAACTGCTGTTGTAAATTGAGTCCGAGAACGCTTTTCAATCATAAACCCTGTGTTAACCTTGATCCTGAAACTGTATTATTTTCATACAATGCCACATAAAAAATAGTTGGTTAGCGTCCCCGCCCGCCCACAAAAAAGGCCCCGCTCAGGATTTTTTTTATTTTTTATTTAAAAAAAAACCCCCAATTTGTATTGATCAATGGGCTCTAATATATGTAGTATTTCTGTTGACTGTAGTCAATTGTGTTAATAATTTGCGAAATTGCGTGCGAAAATGACGGTATGAATCATATTTTGAAATATATAAAAAAAATCTGTACTGCGCAAGAAAATCCAGTTTAGGACCTAACATGAGTGAGTAAAACCAAGGCGTTAAAAATTAGTAAAAATTTTAAAAAAAGCGGCCGCCCGCCCACTTTTTGGCAAAAGCTAAGGACGCTAACCAACTATTTTTTTATGTGGCCTAATAGACGATAGGCTTTCGTCTGCAATCATTTGGTTCAACGAGTTTGTTTGCCGTCGTACATGCTTTTATTTTTAAAGTCGCTGTCTAACACAGACCACTTTCATTTTACAGACGATGTTGGACTCGTTTGAACGGGGACTTAGTGTTTCCTAGTTGGCACTATATTGGCCTTTTACCATGAACTGACCGGCACATTAATACCTTAAATTTATCTTTAGCAATGATTGGGAGTGTCATAAACCATACTCGAATGTCTTGTGGATGCGGTATTTGATCGACAAAGTACTCAACGCCAAAAAGTACAAGAAAGCAAACAACAGTATTCAGAGAAGCATAAGAACATACCTTCGGCAAGTTCTTTCATATGACTCAGCATTAGAAGCTGTACAAGACGGTTTTCTGGGCCTTGATGTTAGTGATGAACATTAGGGAAGCTTCATCCCTCACATAAAATATAAAAGGGGCCAGTGAAAGGTCGATTCGCAGGATTGGATATTCCTGTCAACAGAAATTTAACAATTTTAAAAGTGGTCTATTGTTAGGTAAATAGATTAATGCTAAAATATTTTTGATCTGAAATTAACATGGCAGGTAGAATTTCAATGTACTTGTAGCATAGATATCTTATATACACTAGATAGCGCATCTCTTTTAGTAAAATTGAAGCCAATAATATTCCAGCGGTTACCCCCATTTGAATAGATGGCGGTCATGTTGGTAGTTCCCACTCGCTAATAAACGCTTAAAAAACAACAACTTTGATCATTTGAATACTTTAAAAATGCATTTGCAATGGGTTTAACTTAATGTTTAAGTTCCCTGTTTAAGAAATAGAAAACATACGAATCTTCTCATTTCATGGGAATATCCTGAGTCTGCAATCACGGCTTCAATTTTTGAATGGCAGAATAATTAGATGCACTATCTAGTGTATATACGTTATCTATGACTTGTAGCTGCTTAACTCTATATACATGGAAGGCTGACTACTGTCAATTCCGTAGTCAAAAAATGAAGACGTCACTAATTGCATTTAGTGTAGGCTAAATTCATTTCATGGTAAAGCTCATCTAGTCTCTGGCGTAATGAGTTATATGCATGATTCTATGTGTTTTGACTTTTTTACCATATGTTAATCCGATTTCCGAAGTTGATTAGACTGTACGCTTGCTACAAGTAGTCTTTCTGAGCAAGTTTAGTATTAGAGATGGGAACCGAAGAAAGAGCAGCTCAAAACTAGTAGGTGGACAAAGTTTGCCCGACTATGTCCTATTTAATATATCACTCAATACAAACGTTTTCCATAAATTTGCACTGACCGCTGTATGCACCTCGCATATTTCTACACTGGCTGCTTTGTCACAACTGTCTGAAGATTACGTATGAATAACATGTATGCCAGATTATTTCCTTCGGTTATGAATGTTCATAACATTTTCACTGCATATTCTGTACTTAAATAGTTCAGGGCGGTCCGAAAATTTTGAATCCTAGAACCCCTATGGAATATGAAAATGAAATTCTCCTTATATTTTTCAGGTAGTTGCATCCCTGATCCCTACCAGTACCAACGAAAGCTTGTTAATCCTTAGAATAGAAATTCGTGTTTTGTGAGAATATTTAACTGTGTTTCTATGCATTCTTTACTTTATCCTTACTTGGAGGCCCCTTTAGCCGAGGGTACGGGGCAAATTGTTCCTTTTGCCCTCCTCCCTCTGGGCGGCCCTGTATACGAATGCCAAATTTTGACATTGCTATGTTAAATTACTACGAAATGCAGTCGAATCAACCTCACTAATGAATTTTATTCACAGCCTGTTATTCATACTGTAACATTAGACCGAGTCCCATCGTCAACTTCGGAATGGCGAATTAGAATAATTATAATTGATTTTACCACATGCATGTAAAAACATGTAAATGTGTAAATTTATAACATTGACTCAAATAAAGTATACAAGCTACTTGTGCAAATTTTGTCAATAAATTTAAATTTTCTATTTAGTACCTCTTCAATGTAATGCAATGATTAGATTCATGAAATAACATGAAATTTCATGTTATTTTTGCGGTATCTCCCCCTCCCTCTATACCATTATGCCTCCTCCCATCTTTCTAGCTAGAAGCCTAACGCCAAATTCAGTGAAACATAATAATAATAAAAATTTTAATACCACCAACTTGGCCGGCGTACAAGTAGTTGTAAGTCTTCAATAAGAACTTCTTACATGACAGATTAGCTAGAGATTAGATTAGATCAGATTTAGAGCAGATTGGTCTTATCTAAACTACTTACTCCAGAACACCCCTTGCAAACAGGTGGGAAATTTGTCGTCGCTGACCAAAAAAGCGCGGGCAGAAACAAAGCTCATTGCATTAGCATTCAAAACAAAGCAGAAAGTTAGCAAGAAGCTGTTTTAGCTGACGATTTTTTGCTTTCCATTCAACGATTTACAAATTAACGGTTATTCTTTTAAAAGTCGACTATGAATTCTTTGTTTTGGGATGACTTGTTTTGTAATCGAGTGATTGGAAGTAGTTAATATGGCGACGTGAACATCGGAGTAAATACCGTATACGTCGATCTGTGGCTTGTTTAAAACCGTAATAAACGAAGAAAAACGTGATATGAGAATGAAATGTAAGTTGAAACTAACTTTATATGCCTTATATTTTCCATCCTATGTTTCTTAATGTAACTTCAGCTGTCTAAGTTCAAAATACAAGCTCGCGAAATTTGACAAATTTTGAAAATATGTAAAAATAGCTTGACTTTGAACTGTATTTTCTCAAAAATAGCCCGTGGCCTCAATTTCAAATATAGCTGAATGAAAAGAAAAAAGTTTTCGGCGTTTGTAGGTATCAAACATATCTTCAGGAAAATAGGGGCTCACAATGTTTTAGCTGAGTCTTTGAGACCCAGTTGCTTCGCACGTGTTGTGGTCAAATTTTTGCCAAGAATCAAAAGCCGAAATGTGAACTTCCTTCATGAAAACCGGCTCGAGAAGGGTCTAGTTTGAAAATTTAGGTATTAATTTCGATTTCGTGAGCATATTTTGGTTACACGTTAAATATTTTTTAATTTGATGAGATTCAAAATTTGTTGTATATTCAAGCCCGGCTTTAGTGTAGTTTTAGTGATGACCGGAACAGAAATGAAGATATTTTAAAAACTGGCCGTGGCCTCACGATAAAACTTTCTACAAATGTTCTCTGTTTCATGTACTTTTATTTGATATCTTAGGTATAAGCGTAAAAATAGGGGCTCATACAGCTTACGAGGTTGTAAAATGCATGACTTGCCTCTATTTTCATGTAAACATTCGAAATTTTTCGACAGCAAAGTAGCAACTGTTTCAGATCGAATGCACACGGACAGCCCACCAGAGACAATGGCAGGGTACTGAAATAGAACGTCACTAAAAAATTCTGTATGATTAATTTAGATCATGTCCATTTTCAACATAAAACAGTCATTTATTTTGTACAAACATTTGGCAATATTCACACGATTGTGCCTTTTTGTAAACACGCGTTGCGTGTATTCCACTCAATTGCGTGACTGATTTTGCTCGCGCATGCTCAGACAAATTTCCCACCTGTTCCCCTTGCATGGGACCAGTGTTTCGTACCTAATGATGTGGATGCTCCTCTCTCAAATTGGTGTGACGTTTTCTGAACAGAAATATCCATGACCACCCTTGATAAAGAGCTAAGTAGTTTAAAGATCTTCGACGCCTAACGAAACAACTTATCTCGCAACTAAACTCCGAGAATCTGTCGCGGAAAATCCGAAACGTTTCAGATCTTTCGTAAAATCCTCTAGGTCGGTCAAAATCACCGAGAACTTCCTTCGCGATAATCACTCTTTTATTACTGACAGCTGTGACAAAGCTAACCTACTGAACTCCTTCCACTCAGCCTTTAGTCCTGCTCAAGCTACCACTGCAACATCTAATTTCCCATTGTCTTCCGACACAGCCTTATCCAACTAACAGATAACGAAATCTTTAAAGTTCTTGACGGTTTGGATCCAAGCAAAGCATGCGGACCTGATGGGATACCTGGAAAACTTCTTAAGATGACGGCTAACATAATCGCACTATCTCTCTGTCATATATATAATCTTTCTTTGTCACAGGGTGTAGTTCCTGCTTGTTGGCTCGTTACACCTGAGTTCAAAAAAGACGATCCAACGCCCGCTTCTAACTATAGACCTATTTCCCTATTATCTATCATCTCAAAAACGTTTGAACTCTGTGTATATAACCACAGCTATCCCCATCTATCACCACGTTTCTACCATCTACAGCATGATTTCTTAAGGTGTAAATCTACGATAACTCAACTACTCCACGTCTACCAAGAAATCCTAGATCACTTAGCTGGTGGGAAAGAGGTTAATGCCATCCACCTAGACCTATCCAATGCCTTTGATCGTGTTCAACATCACATGCTTCTGAACAAGCTTGAGCAATATAGCATATCAGGCTCGCTTCTTCAGTGGTTTTGTAGTTACTGAGTCCCATCCAAGGCAACGCGCTGATATATGTCACCCTCTCAGACTGGCTCCCCGTGACCTCTGCAGTCCCACAGGGATCCATCCTAGGATCCCTCCTGTTCCTAGTATACATCAATGACATGCCAGAATACGTAGGACAGGGCTCGAGTATTGCATTATTTGCGGATGACTCTACACTATATAGGACCATAAACTCTGCATCTCACCATCTGTTGCATCGGACCTTTCAGGCCTTCATAATTGGAGTAATGACTGGGGCATGACGTTCAACCCATCCAAGTGCAAAGTGATGCACATGTCTCGGAAAAAGGTCTGCTCCTCTGCTTCACTCCAATACCACCTGAACGACAAGCCCCTGGAAAGTGTGACACACAGCTCTGACCTGGGTGTCATTGTATCTAAAGACCTGTCCTGGGCTAACCATATTGAAGACATATGCACCAAGGCCAATAAAACCCTTGGTCTAATCACTGGTCTAATTAAGCGGGTGTGTGCTAGAGACATTGTGGTGCCAATACGCGAAAGCTTCTCAATATATTGTACTGTTGTACGACCTAAGCTTGAGTACGCGTCGTGTGTGTGGTCACCTTACTCGGCTAAACAACATAAATTAATAGAGAACGTCCGAAACCCATTCCAAACTACCCTCCTCGTGATGTTACCTACAGAGACAGACTAATATCTTTAAACATTCTCCCACTTGAACACAGGCGTGAACTTTATGACCTAACACTATTATACAAAATAAAAAAAACAACCTTATCAATGTCACCTTTAACCAATACCTTACACCTGCAACTAACGCCTATGCCACATGCAACTTCGACCCTAAAAACTATAACAAATTCGTCTCCAATAATCACGAATTCCTCTGACAATCCTACTTCCCACGCACCGTCATCCTCTG